GCTGTTGTATGTCTGTTGGTATTTTTAATTCTCTTTTAGACATTGTGTTGTCAGTTTGTTTTCGACTTAAGAGTTTGAATGTCCCTTTGGTATTGTTTTACTCTATTTTACAGTTAAAAACCTTACTTTTCCAATTATGTTCCTTTCTTATAATGTGTATATATTATAAGAGCGCGTTATCGTTCATTTTTTATTCAATTTTTCTAAGTGTGTCTGGGAAATTACTGTTTAGTTGGATTTTTTTTCATAGAATTACAGAAAGTTATAGGCAGTTGCAACAGTTATCAACTGACCATGATCTCATTTCAAAAGGTCTATTGATCAGGTGCTTTTTCATGTATCTGATTAAACATTTATTAAACTCTTTATCACAATTTGCAATTTGCAGTTATTGTTGATTTACCAGAATAGCCATCTCACTATTTTAGAATAATAGTTGTTCATACTGTCAAAAACCTTTTCCAAATACTGATGCAATTTAAATTAAGACCAGTATTTCGACATTCTTTAAATCTGATGAATGAGACCATATCTACTGGACTTAAAGTCTAAACAGAAATATAAATCGCCTGATAACTGACCTTTTTCTAATATGATGTCACGATGCAAGACATTTCAATATATCTTGTTGGCTCTATCTGATCAACATCAAGACCTGAGCATCGTTGCAGACATAAATTGTCGAAAGTGCATCCTTAGCAGTAAAATTGGTAGACACTAACTTGGGTTTGCCACGACATAATATTGACATTTTCTTTAAATAACAAACATGTATTCAAAATTGAACATTTTTTTTTAAAAGGACAAGGTTCACTTATGGCGCAAAAGGGCCTGAAATATTAACTTTAACATAAAACACCAAAAAGGTCACAATTTGGTTCGTGAATGGGTCTATTTCAAAATCCTTAATGCTAAATAAATCAGTTCTTTACATAAAAGTAGATGATATTTCCAGAGTAAGCCCATTTTGTACATTTTGTCAAAAGATGATGATTTTGTTCAATTTTTAGAAACACTTTGGCCGCCACCTACGATCCAAAATGTTTTGTAACCGAAATATTCCAATTTTGATATAGAATTTATCAATATAAAAACTTTTTTGGATCGTGGATGGCGGCCAAGGTTAATTATGCCAAAAACAATTACAATTATGGAAAAAAATTACCGACATTAACCTTAACATACAAATAATGGTCATATAAGGGGTCATAGCTTCATAAATTTTAAAGGAAGGTGCCAAAAAAAATACATTTTTGTCTTGATAGTATTATCACAAGTATTTCTATGTAAAATTTGTAATTTTTGGCCTGATTTAAAAAAAATCAAAAATTTAGGGCCAATTTTAACCCTTCGTGAATTTTCTCCTTTGAGATCATGCATGCAGTACAATCTGTTTCAAACGATAACCTCCATTTTGAAATGTTTGTAACAAATCTAATGCACTGACATCTTTGATTTTCTAAAACACACACACATATATATATATATAGTTGGCAAAAAAGAAACGTTACATGCTCGTAAGATCATTTATATTTTTTATAACAAAAAGTTGATAACAATTAGTTAATGGAATAGTTAGCTAACATAATTTAAAGAGAACGATAACAAGTGTTCTCTATTTAAAAACAATATTGCACATTTTTGGACAGTTTTAACAGGATGAGTACAGAATTCAGGTTAACATGTCAATACCTTGTATGACCTCCTTTTCCATTTATGACCGCCTCCGTCGCATTAAATCAATAAGACGTCGAATAAAGTCTTGAGGGATGTTGTTCCATTCCCTGAAAGTACTGTTCGGAGCTTGGCGAGCGTTTCCGGTGAATTTTGGCTATTTCTGATACGTCGTCCAAGTTCGTCCCAAAGATGTTCAATTGACGATAAATCTGGAGACATTGCTGGCCATGGCACCACACGAATATAGTTAACCTCCAAAAAGGTCGTCGAAATGTGTGCCACGTGACAACAGGCGTTGACCTGCTGAAAAACGTGGTTAAAACGATGTCTTCGGAAAACGGGAGAACAACTGGAGCCAGAATGTCGTCCCTATACCTTGTTGCATTTAGGTTACCAACGATGATTTTGAGCTCTTTGCGTTCCTGGTAGGCTATTCCGCCACATACCATAATTCCGCCACCACCAAACCGATCTGTTTCCTGTACGCACGCATCAGACAATCGTTCATTGCGCCTCTGGTAGACCCTGGCTCTGCCGTCGCGTAATTTCAAGTTGCATTTAGATTCATCGGTAAAAAGAACCTGTCTCCATGTTTGCCTATTCCATTCAGTCCGTACCCGAGTCCATTGAAGTCGCACCATCTAGTGACGCTGCGTAAAGATAGGTCCCTTCAACGGACGACGAGCTCTAAGACCAACTTGACGCAATCGGTTACGAACTGATTCAGCCGATATTCTGTCTTGAGTCATTCCTGGTGCCAACATCCCAATATCGGTTTCTCTCTCATTTTTTTAGTATACGGGGCATTGTCTTACGTGTAACTTTTTTAAATTTTTTAATGCGACCTTTTGTTAACAATCGTGTTCGACACAATTAATGACCAAACGGAGAACTCGATTCCATCTCTATACAGGTAAATTTTAGAAAACATGGTTATTTGTTTGAAATCAGAAAATGACGTCACGTCATTTTCGATATTTTTACAAACGAGTAAATTTGATAGATAAATCATTCAGGTTACTAGTTTTAATCTTGAAAATGTTTGAAACCAATGTAACGTTTCTTTTTTTACCTTGTATATACATATGTCGTTTAAAAAAACAGCCCAACAATTTTAGATCTGTAAATTTTTGGAAGTAAATTTTTTTGTTCTTCCCTGGCCGTAAAAAAATTGCTTTCGCAAATTTACAAATTTAACATTGTTGGGTTGATATTTAGTCGAATTATATATACAGAATGTATTGTCAGCCTTCTATCCGATGGATGAAATATGTCGTAGTGTTGTCACTGGTTCAGACGAACTTATATATCTATATATACTATATATATATATAAAACGTCTGAATAATAGTCAACGGGTTTTCCCACAAGGGCGCTGGATCGTTACGAATAACGATACATGTACACAATAAATGAATTATATAAACGCCTAAAAAATGTACAAAACAACACCAATAACAAAAAAAAGGAAACTATAAATGTAATTATTTATAAATATTTCGGATAACAGATATCCTTCATCAGTATGATTGTGATGTTAAATGAATCATATCAATCTACGTTGATTAAACTATAACAATCTTGAAATTTATACAATAAAACAGTTAAACTGAACATCATAGTTTAGACGCTTGTACAATTCTAAAATGTTTAAACATGACATAGGTTATATGGCTATTTACAACAGAGACTGCAAAGATATGTTTCAACTAAAAATAGTAATGTGCGATATAAACGAGCACAATTCTAAAATTTAAACGATGGTACAAGAACGATTGCGTCAATAAACATTCAAAATAAACAGCACTGACCGATCTAAGTTTGTAAATATTTCAAATTTGACAACGGTAGAGTAATGACAACAGAGGCTGCTTATTTAAACATCCCAAATAAATAGCAGTTAAAACATTATAATACATTTTGACTAAGGTTAAATAGTTGAACGTGAGTTGGTACTTTTATATCCCTCTAAAATGACTAGAACCAAGCAATTTAAACTGGTATACTCACCAAATAATTAATATATATATATAAGGAAGTTGATATCTTAGAATATAGATTGCTCTCCGTAAAAAAAAATCGAGCTTTTGTGTTATAAGGACATTCTTATCGTTTAGTCCAAATAGTGTACACCTCCTTTAAAACAAGTACTCATTTAAAAAACCTGATTGAACAATTAAGCACGTCAGTCGCACTTTTTGTTAAAAACAAGCTCACCAATCGCTGTGAAACCAACACAAAAACCTTTGGAAGGCCAGGTTAATTATGAAATTGAAGTTAATCTAATAAACAATTATCAAAAATGTGTGCCAAATATTGCAAATGCAATCAATGTGATGGAGTAGACATGTTTGATTTACAGAAAATAAGCTAAAATACGTATAAAAGGACACTTATCGAGTTTTTTGAACTCTAATATCACAAACTATCTTAAATTAAACAGCAAGATGTTAAACCTATATTAGTCTGTTCCATCTTAGTAGTTGTACATATATATATATATATATATTAATATTTTATACTTGGACCTTTCAGTTTCTTGTTTATGAAGAATACATAAATTGAAGAAAACATATTTATTACGAATATGACTCTTTTTCAAAATTTTTTTTATATAAATTAATATAAGTCATGGAGATTTCTTGTTTTGATTTCCATCAAACATAATCTTTTGTTTAAATATGCGTAAGAAGTTATATGATTTATGCCATATATGTGTGTATATTTTCCTGTGAAATCAACAATACGCTCAAATTACCAGAGTTTATTATATTGATGATTCAAATATTCAGTGAAATCAAGAGTGCATTGGGATATAGAAAAATGCTCTTGATGACTTTTATTCTGCAGTAACACTCATGCTAAATGAAGTCTCTGTTTTATTGTTCGGGATGTAAAAACTAGCTGTCTCGTCTGGTCCGAGTTAGATTTTGAATACTATGTCACTTTGAGGGAGAGTATCATGCTCCTTTTGTCAATGACGCTTAGCAACATCCACTTTTATGGTCAGTAGGTGTCCTGTGAAAAGGCCAAATTTAAGACACTTCCAGTATATTTGTTTAACAAACATTTTCAAATATGTATCTTTATCTCAGTCGCCCCTCTACGCACAACATACCTATCTCTTAGGAGTAAATTTAGTAAATTAATGTTTGATTTAAGGGGCAATCAAATGTTGTTTTTTTTTATAATCCTCATGTAGCAGTGTCCGCCTTTCTCTTAATTGTTTATAAATAAAGTAATAGTACGTTCATAATCAAACACACATTGAACATGCTGAACTTTAATTTCCTGTATTTGTCACCCTTTGATTTGACTTTCAGGTGGATGTATATAGTTGAACGGCAGTTTGGAATATCAAAGTCTAGAATTGATTTATCCGAAAAACAGACGATCGTTAACTTTGCACCACTATATGTTTCTTGTATGGATATAGGTACGTTGTTACTAGTTATCTATATATGTTATTGTAAGATATTGTATATGCAATTATTGATGATGGGTCGAACTATATATCTATCTGCATAATTATGTTTATGAATAGATGTACCAACATTTTTCGTGCAAGCTTTTTGTGTGTGTGTAAAAACACAAAATAGGAAACATTTAAATACTCGTGTACTCGCTGTTTGTATGAGAAAAACATGCCGTCGATCGTGCATTTATAGTTAGAAACTCATCATGTTCATCAAGTGTATGTAATATGAAAAGAGGGAAAAATTTCTGTTCAAAGTCAAGTAAAATATTGTTCTTGCCGGGAAAACAAAATTGTCTCATAATTTATATTTTATATCTCTCAGTTTATATGATATTCCTGGCTTGTATTTCCTATGAAGATTTCTTTGATAGAGGGTTGCTGCTCACAAAGAAGCTATTAAACCTAGAGTTCTAAGTGGTGAAGTTGACAGCTTCCCTTCGTAAATGTTACGCCATCACGAGTTGGTTGACTGTTATTGACTATCCCTTTCACAGATGATACATGTAGTGGTTATGTTCCAATTGTCGTAATTACACACTCCTGCGCCCTTGTCCACAAATATGACCTACCGAATTAGACTTATTACTGGGTTTCTTCTTTCATAAGAAACACGACGAATTTCACATGAGGGGCAATATCTGCTTACACTTCTGGAGCACCAGCTGCGATCACCTCAGTTTTTGGTGGGGTTCTTGTTGCTCAGTCTTTTTTTTTTCTATTTTGTGTATTGCGTACAGTTGTTTGTCTGTTTGTCTGATTTTTTTTGATAGCCAAAGCGTTTTTTATCGACTTATGAGTTTGAATGTTCCTGTGATATCTTTCGCCTCTCTTTTTTCAGGTTTCTGTTTAAAACAAAACATATGCAACTTAACATATGAACGGCAGATACACATGTTGAAGTTATGCACCTGATATAAATAAATTGTCAGAGGAACTTGTGTTAATCTTTTAATTTGCCAGACTAGCTATCCTTTTGTTCAGCGTGTTGTTCAAAGCAATATCATTTAGTGTAGTTAGCGTGTGCTGTGATTGTTTTTCTAATCCTTTCTAATCCCACTTGTTACAATGTATATTTGTATGCTTATTATCTCATGAATTCAGTTGTGTTTATTTATTCCCAGCTAATTAGACATCTCAAAGTAAAACATGTAGAATTGTGTTATTTTGCCCGTTTTTATAGCGAACAAACACTAATGACATTTAGTGTTTTACTAAAACCATATTTTTTGTTGATGCATTATGGCCTGCGGAAATGAATGATATTATTTATATTTTTTTAACTGAAGGCTTTTTTTCCATTACACTCATTTGGTGTTTAATTCAACCATTCTACAGGTAGCATGGCTAAGCAATAGTTTATATAAATTGACTTATAAAATGAAAAGTAAATAAATTTGGTGTTTTTTTTTTGTAAGAAACAAGAAGACTAATGTTTTTTTTTGTCTTTTTTTTCCATTTGCAAAAGATTATTATAAAAATTATCTTCTAATTGTTATATCGACATATCATAATTTAATTTATTCTAACGAGTCACATAGTAATCCTTTAAAAGGGAATTGAGTAAAACCTATAGTTAGAATCATAAGAAGATGTGGTATGATTGCTACACCAGAGATAGAAGTAAATAATTATAGGCCATCGTACGACCTTCAACAATTAGTGGGACCCATACCATATAGTCAGCTGTGAAAGGGTCCCGAAAGGACGAATGCTAACAATTAAAACGATAAAACTAAAGAATTGATTTATGTAAAAAGATGATGATCAAAAAACGAATATGGTACGCCGAACAACTGACAACCATCAAATTACAGACTCCGGAACTCTATATTAAGAAAATAAAAAAAAAAAAAATTATGTTTATACTCGTATACTACTTAGATATTTATCAGATTGAAATTGGTGCTTATTAGGAAGAATCAATCATATTGTCCATTTGTTTAAAATTGACATGAGCATATAACATTAATAACCTATATGTCAGAAAAAATGCGTTTTATAATTCTGATGTAATATATTTGACTATCTTTTTTCATCCTACATAGCCCAGACAAGTTGTGAAATGATTGTTGTCAAGTTTAAAATAGATTTTTTTTTTCTTAAACGGAAAAAAGAAAAACACATTATTAGTGTTACTATTGATTTCGTCGCTTTACTGCAGGTAATTTTGGAAAAATAAAAACCGAAAACACATAATATTATATAAAAAGAAATACAATGACAAAATAAGTATAGAAAGTTTCATGTTTTTCTTCCAAATAAGTCTATTTACGATGTTATGTAATGTGTGGTTATACCGTGATGGAACACATACATGGGAATTGGTCCAACCTCTTTTATCTGTGTTTTTTTAAAATGCAATATTTAAAAATTAACCCCGTTGTCTTCATACGTTACGGATGACATATACATGTTAGACTAATTGTTTTCAAATTTTGTAGACACTGATGAACAAATAGTGTATTGGATTAATCACAGTGGTGAAATGAAGTCAGCTAATGTTGATGGTTCTGATGTTACAACAATCATTTCAATTAATCGTTCTGGATCTATTTACTATGCTATAGGCGTTTTTGGTGGCTATATTTACTATGCAAAAGACAGTCAGTTGTTAATACTGGATAAAACACAAGGATCAACGCCGACTGTTCTGCATAATGATATCAGCAGAATTAACAGTTTATTTTTATTTAAGCAATCAGGTATGTAAATAATCGGTCAACAATAGGTATTATCATAGACCAACTGGGTTACACCTCAGTATAAAAGCATACTTAGTTTTTGTACAAACAATTTTAAAAAGACATTAGCTACGAGATATAAAAAAATTAGAATATGATTGTTTTGTTCAATCATGAAGGAAAGTGAAATAGTTAAATAATAATTCACTTTAAGCAGCCAGTTTGGTTCAATTTTGTCATAATAAGCTAAGAAATATCGCTAATGAATTATTCACTTGCAAGTCCATACAGTCCTTGGATGGTGTAAACTTCCCACTAAAACCATAACCATACACCATTCACCATACGCTCTTACAGCATACACCCTGTACCATTACACCATACACGTTACACCTGTGCACCATACACCTTACACAATACACCATAATGCAATTTAATTTAAAAAAAAAGCGTGCGACTACAACATTATTTATTTATTTTAGAAAACGAATGTTCATCACAATATTGTAAATTAATGTATAAAATTAAAAATCAGTTCTTATCAATATTTTGCATAGTTTTAAATGTCGTACACCATTCCTGATCGCACGTTACACCATTACACCATTCCCCTTACACCATACACCATAGCACCATACACCTTCTACCATTACACCATATGCCATACACCATTACACCATACACGTTTTTTTGGGAAGTTTACACCATCCAAGGGCTGTACTTCGATCTCATTGAATCCGTATCCATGTAACCATATTTGATCCTAAGCTAGAGTTGGGTTACGCATAAGTTAAGCGTCTTCAGTTATTAAAAGGAAAAGCATGTCAACATTGAAAGTGAAACAAGGGTAAGCAATTTGATTGACTGATTCGATCAACAAAAACTGATTTTTGTACAGGTAAAAACGTTGATTAGCATATTTTTTTCACCTATAATGTAAAACTTACAAGACCTAGCAAAATCCAATTGCACGAGTTTGCTATCTAGTAATATATATGTTTATGTCTATATCGGGCTATATGACCGTCGACACTCTTCGGAGGTTACCTCGATGGTTAATTAGATGGCCTGTAGGCTAAAATACACACAAACACTGATACATATTATCAGACACTGGCATTGTAAATTGTTTATTTTATACTTTTTATCATTTATATAAAATTGAGAATGGAAACGGGGAATGTGTCAAAGAGACAACAACCCGACCATAGAGCAGACAACAGCCGAAGGCCACCAGTGGGTCTTCAATGCAGCGAGAAACTCCCGCACCCAGAGGCGTCCTTCAACTGGCCCCTAAACAAATATGTATACTAGTTCAGTGATAAAGGAACATTAGATATATATGTTTGAGCATTTTGTAAATCAAATATGAGAATTTGAGTCAAATCGATGCACATGCATTTGACAGTTAATGTCCCTTTAAGAACGTTTATTAGTCATACATTATCTATAATTTGAACACGAATGCATTCATTGTAAGTGGACGTATTTCGACAGAAAAGGAAAACGTATACATTCATGAGACTGGATCTAGAAACTAACAATTTCAAAATAAACACTATTAAAATATTATCAGTTTATTATTTTAAAGCCTTTCAGAATAACTGTGACTGATAATGATTTACACCTAATTATTTACACTTTAGTAGTATATGGATGAAAATGATACATGTATAGCCGTTAACACCGTGATTCGTATATTTTGTGACCAACATGTACATAAATCAGCGTAAATTCGGTTTACCTTCTGATTAAATTAAAATATGAATACCACTTCGCAAACTCATCCTACAATGCCTTTAAAATCTTCAAACACGTGTAGTAAAGCATAACTTATTTTTGTGCTATAAGAACACATGAATTAAATAGGATACAGTCTCTGAAAGCAATCAAACATTAGATATGACATAGACACTGGTTTTAGATAATTAACCCGTTTTCAATCAGTTGTAAAAACTTAAACAACAATACTTTGAGTAATAATTGAAATCAATGTTCTTTTTTTAATTGTGTATTCACATATTTAACAAATATTGATGCAACATTGTCTGACATGTGTTTTTAAAATGATTTCTAATTGCTTGATGCTTTTTTTTATATAATCAGCTTTTACTCATATGTAAATACATGTAGCTAGTTATTCTAACCAACTGTAATTGCATATGTTCATCCCAGTGTTGCCTTAATGTGTTGCATACATACTATTAATGTTATGTATTTATTCTTTAAGGTTCATGTTATATAATATTGGTTTCACAAATAACACGTTTTAACAGTGGTTTTTTTTTATCTAAATAAAGTAAATTTGTTTTAGCTGAATATATGTTTGTTTACATTTATTCACTTTTTATTCATTATCATGATTATAATGTATGTTGACTTTTTATATAATACTTTTAAAATACAGTGTAATACATGTTATTGTTGTTAACGTGACAACAATTAATAAAAAGTAATTTCAGTGTTCACGACTGAATTGTTATTTATAAAGTTGTACAACACAAACACGAGGTATGTAAATGATCTTTTCAATGAAATATACTTCTTATGCCTATAAGTATCAAAACAAAACGATGCGGTATGATTGCCACTTTGAGATAACTCCCCACTAGAGACCACATAACGTAAAGTCTTTTTTATTGAATATCATTATGTTTTAAAATCAATGGTAATCATCAAATCTTACTGTTCACATATTTTTTTTAATGATTTATACTTACTTTCTACAAACCATTAAACTTCTTGTCGAAGTCATAGAAGACGTAAACAAAAATATATAAAACAAACTCTGATAGATATATAAATTCTTTTCTTTTCATTTTAATAGATGTCACCTAATATGATACAGCACCATAAATAGAGGACTGAATTCAGGATGAAATGTATAAATCTTAGAGGCAGCAAATGGAAATGGGTAAACTGTTGTATGTTGATGCCTTGAATAGTATTACATTGTAGTAGATTATAACTTTTCAAAGTAAATTTGTTCATTTTGTCAAACGAATACATTTCTATTGAGAAAGAAGGAAGAAATAATTAGATAAACACATACATATAATTATAGATTGGTCAACTCTATAGTACTGAACATAAACCATTATAAAAAAAAAAACGCAAGTCATCGACATTGAACATTTTGAGGTAGGGTCATCTGGAAATGGTATATCGACATGTTGGTTTTATATGCCGCGTGATGTTTAGTTCCTATTGAAAAAAAAAAACAACTAAAGAATTTGCACTATTTTTCAATGATCACAAATATTAGTGATAATTGTACCGTTAGTTTTCAATGCTTACGTTTGATATTTTCATACATAACTTCCGGTATTCCAAGTTTTTAGTAAGAAGTTGTTCTACCTCCAACTTGTCCAAAATATGTACAGATATATTCTATATTATTACACAAACATTGAGTTTTCTTATACTTTGTTTAAGTTGTCGTATGAAATCCGCTCTGCATTACAATTACTTAAATTAGATTGTAAGACTGCAGAAAGTTATACAAAACATGGAAATCGGTAACCAGCATAGTCATGTAAGAGAAATAACGTTATGAAAGCCTCTGATATCTTTGGTTAAGATTTTAAGAAGGAAGATATTAACAATATCAGCAATTTTTGTTTTATCGTACTTTCTCTGAACTTAAAAGTTTCAATGTTCTTGTATACAACCATTATGCTTTTGTTTCTCGTAGTTTCAAGTGGCTTGACCCAAAGTCATGGTAATAGCTTACATTGCAAATAGACAACGTGAAGCAATACTATGTATATGTTAATTCGGTTATTGTCAATAAAAAAAACCCCAAAAATATGAAATCACAGTATATATTCGAATGCTCGTACTGTAAGTGCCTTAAAAGACACGCAAAACAAACATGTGCTCGCTTTACGCTCGATTGTGTGTACATAATGATGGTAACACTACTTTGATTAATTAGCATGATTATGTGTATGGTTCTTGAATAAAACCTGTCAATAGTGTGTGGTGCTAATTGCAGTTAGAAATCGTTAATTCTACGAACATGTTATAGTTGAACAGAGTTCAAATCCGTAAATCTGTGGTCATGGACTATCCTTAATTGCATACAGTCATACGGTAAATTCAAATTAATAAACAAAAAAATAAAACTAAATGGCAAATACATTTATTTGTATGATGCATTGAACAGATCTGCAAAAAATCAATGTGACGTTTGTCAAAACATCGAATTTAAAAATACGTATAGACCAACTAATGTATGTGTTGCTTCAATTACAAATGACATAATTCTCATTTCGCAATAATCATCAATGTGAGTGTGTTTCCTTATTTGCCTATTGATGTAAGAACACAAATGACTCTCTGAATATGCATGACATTTATAATACAAGCAGTGTGCTGTTTATGATAGATGCATACTTTTCCCCACTAACAGGTGATCTAGGATGGTGCAATATAATTAAATTGACAAACAAAACTGACATTCTTGATCAAAAGGTAAATATAATGTGTTGATTGAGTCACGTTGACACGTAATACATGTACTGCGGAATTTTCAGTGTTTTGTAAAATGCAATAAATCAAGAAATGTGCACAAGAATTAGTACATCCTACACATACCATGCACCAATGTGTTCAGTTTGTGTAATTATTTTGATATTATATTTCAGTATATAATTTATGAACATAATGGATTCACAAATTTCATCTTTCTAGATTGAAATAAGAAATAAATACTGATTGATTGATTTATTGATTGATTGTTGGTTGCTTAACGTCCAGTGGCAAATATTTCATGCATATTCAACAAATTAACAATAAATACATTAGGTATGTTCTGTAATAGAGGCGTCCGGGATTAAGGTCGGAGAAATTTGGACTGACACGGGAAATGAGGGTATATTGGATAGGGACAGACATTTAGCCTTGCAACAGGTCACCTACGGACCCCTCAAAGAGTTGTTGCAAGGGTTCTTAACGTGCAAAGAGTGTGGCACTCTCTTTACACGGGGCATCGGATTCAACGTCCCCATTCTGACCGGACGTGGCAGCAAATTTGTACATCCCGCACAGCCAAACGGACGCCCTACTTTAGCAAGGGTTTTACTGCCGGTCGGAGGAAGACCAATGGTGACCATACTTCTATTCCCCAGTCACCCTTGGGGGTAAATCAATACTGTAAACCAACTTAATTTCTGCGGATACATTTCGCATTTATCCCTTTCAAGCCCACTTCGCGGCTATTAAATTAGGCCATTTTCAAATTTACTTGATAAAGTTAAATAGGAAAGACAAAATAATGCATATTCGCGACGATTTATATTCGCGTTATTTTTTTCTACTCATGAAAATAGCGAAATTAAATCGCACGCGAAAATAAGTTGGTTTACATTATTTTGTTATGTTAACATAGACTTCGTAACGTTGATCATGTTCAGATCAGGATATTACATATTTTGAATACAACGATGCATTTCAGTTACAAATACTTTGTTCTAAATGCTTGTCACTATATTTCAGGATGATTAACTGACCGAATAAGTTGTTGGTAAAGTTTTGATGCCGATATCTATCTACTGAAACACGCTCAGAATGTTTCCAAACTTTAAATGGTAAATTTATATCATAATTTACTCTGTAATCATTGTAATCAGCTCAGAATCACTAAACTTTAACAATTAAGATGTAAACCATCACCAAGACATTAGGTAGACAGTATCTCGAAAGCAATCGTTTGACATATACTGAATTTGAAGAATAGTTTACGGTATATAGTAATTATTTCTTTTCTCTGTATATAAACTCTTTGCACTGCATCTTTTACTCTTCCCAACAACTGTTGAATCATGCCAACTTCCAGCAATACAACCAATTAACAGTTTGTGAAATACATTTATAAATGGTGAAATAGAAATAGAAAACACATCATTTCTCATTATTTGATAGCAACGAAAATCGTTGCACATAATTTCTAAAAATCGCAATTATGTTTCTGTTTTGTTAATGAAACATGTACACGATGGAAACATGTTTGCAGTAAATGCCATTTTGTCATTCTGAGATGAGTTTGTATCTGTCTACGTATATCAACTGTCATAAAACTGAACATAATATTTATACTTGACCATTACACTTTTGATACAACCGATACTCGTGACAAGTGTTGTTGAAATAATGTTCCAATTTTGTCATGTCTGAGAAATTTACATCAGTATTTTTACACAATCTGAATTTACTGATGACTTTTGACTAATACTAGAGATTGACAGTGACATCGTACATCATATCTATTTTTTGTTTTTAATTTTAAGTGAACATGGTGAAGCTGACTAGTCAAAGTACTGCAAACAAGTGTTTTCTGACTCCCTAAAGTTAAACAATGTCAACGAAAGGCTTTCACGTATTTGAGTCGAAATCAAGAGTGAACTAATGATGTATGCATTATACAATCAACTAAAGTATGGATACTTTACACCCCCATTATCTTAAGATTAATCAGCCCGGTAGTTTACTCGCATGATCTAAACTAGGAAAAGAACGAATAGACCGGATGATATGTCGCCCATGATAAAAAAAAACAATCGATAGGATGTTGTCAATGAAACAACAACTCCGAAAGAAATTGGTAGCCCTGTTGGTATTTAAAAAGATGTCATGCAAACGAACATTTTTCAGTCTACGGATTGCTCTATGTGCTACAAAAACTAGACAAGTTTATTTATAATCGGTCTTTGTACTGTTTAACTTTTAGGTCAATTTCAACTAGACATGTGTTATGCATTTAATCTGTCCATACTATGCAATTAATTTTGCAGGAATGTTTATATTTAGAATAGCAAACGGAGGGGCTATTATTTCACTTAAATGATAAATGAAATAATCTATTAATTTCCCGATGATCCCGGATATCTATATTTGATATAGCGAAAGAGAAAGCTGGAGTTGTCAATGAAGTAGTAAATAGATTTATTAAAATATGTTCCATTGAACTAATAGTGTTGCTTAGAACAAAGTTATACAATTAGTTAATCAAATTTCTTGTCTTTTTTTATTTAATCTTTACACACAATTCAGCTGATACATTTTAATTTTGAAAAAAAAAACAACATTTGAACACGGAGATAAAGTATGTTATCACACATGTAGACGTTTACAATAGCACATGTTTATCTTAATCTTTATAAATCAAATTATATCTGCAATTTGTATCATCAAGATGCATTATGTAAGGTAATCTAAAATTATGAACATTTCGAAATCATCAACTGACATTGCTGCAACAAGTAATTTTTACTATAAATTTTCACTTCTTCGTACTATGACCATCAAAATTATTTATTTTGTAAAAATATTTCCTTTCTCCGTTTGAACTATACACGTATACCTAACAACAGAATTATTTGCATGTACATGTGTTTATAGTAATTGAAAATGGCTGATATTTTTGTTCAAACATATTGTTTTTCTTATATTATTTAACATTTCACAGCGGTATAACATGTTACTTTAATTATTATTCCCTTTGTTTATTTATTTTGTATTTTCATTGTACCATAGATCAAATTTATTTGTTCAGTGTATGTTCACTGGTGTTAATATGTCTTTTGGTTGATTTAAGCCATTTCAATTGATATTTTAAAGTGTGTCTTTCTATGTTGTGATGTTACACTATTGTTTCAGATAAGGGCGAAGGTCTGGTACCATTTAAAAGTTTAAACCCGCTGCAATTGTTTGCACCTGTCCTAAGTCAGGAATCTGATGTTCAGTAGTAGTCGTTTGTTGATGTTGTTCATACATGTTTCTCGTTTCTCGTTTTTTATATAGGTTAGACCGTTTGTTTTCCCGTTTGAATGGTTTTACACTAGTAATTTTTGGGGCCCTTTATAGCTTGCTGTTCGGTGTGAGAAAAGGCTCCATGTTGAAGACCGTACTTTGACCTATGATGGTTTACTTTTATAAATTTTGACTTGGATGGAGAGTTGTCTCATTTGCAAATCATACTACATCGTCTCATATCTAATTAATATAAGTGTTTACATTTATTGTAAAATATCGTCTGACCTATAACGGTTTTGCTATGTTTTTTTAATCTCTTTTTGATATATGATTATATCATAACTTGTGTATACGTTATACATCTTAAGTTTTGTTATATTTTACATCTATCCAGATTGATCAATTAATTTGAAAACAGCATATTTTTGCTTTATTTGAGGTGAGATAAACCGTTATATCATAGCTTTGTCTAGCAGTTCCGTTATATCTTTTAATCAATGCTTGTATTTTCCTCACCCATAACTTTGATTCAAATTACGATATACGAATTTGGATATACTACTGTCTCTTATGATTTTATGAGCAGTTTAACTTTGATAAAAGACTTTAGGTTTCAATAACGAGCAATTCCTATGCTCAAAACTACAAAAGTCCTCGATATGAAAAAAAGGCAAAACAATTAAACGGCTTGATTTATGACAAAAGAATCAGCCCCAAAAAGATATGACAGAAACAAACCAACATACCACTAAATTACAGCCTCTTGAAATCAGGAATATATAGAATTTTGCGGGTTGAATATGTGTGTAGGCTTGAACCCTTCCCTTTCCTTGGACAGTGGTGTAACACCATTACATTCGGAGCAATCGTTAATATAAATTGGAAATGGTTCGATTCATGAAATTGGAACGAAGCACAAAAACTACTAAAATAAAGACAACATGCACACAGTACTGATCTAAAAGCAGTCGCAGTTGCTGAAAGCTAGTTCAAAGCCAATAACAGCAAATAAAGTAAAAGTCAGAAAGCAGCCAACAGATTTAATGTAACGACGTAAAAACAGTGAAAGAAAGTCTTCTATACTTACGTCTTCTGTTATCTATTATAACATTGGGCTCAAACTTTTTTTTAAATCAGTGTTATTGTGCGTATTGAGGTGTTATTGTTTATTTCACTAGGAAATGAGATAGCCTTAACATGTTAACCCCGTCGCAGTTATGCGCCCGTCCAAAATCAGGAATTTAGCCTTTGTAATTCTTGTTAATCTTGTGTTTTATTTCTTTTATTTTGGTTCATTTATATTTTTCGAAGTTTTGCATATTTAGTGTGGTGTTCATTTTTGCTGAACTCGTATACATTGTTTAGTGGCCAGCTGAATGCCTCCATGTGTATGAATTTTTCGCTGCGTTGAAGACCCATTGGTGGCCTTGGCCTTGGCCTATTTTTGCTCCTTGGTAGGATCAATGTCTCTTTGACACATTCACCGTTTCAATTCTCAATAACTTTCTTAAACTATCCTGGATTTCTACCAAACATGGACAGAAGCTTGTTTATGATCATAAGATAGTATCCAGAAGTAAATTTTGTTAAACAAATCTTGTTTATTTGTATTTTACTTATAAATGGACTTAGTTTTTCTGCCAGTTATCATTACATCCACTCTGTGATTAAAGTTTTAAAAATTTTAATAAATTTCTTAAACTATCCTGGATTTGTACTAAACTTTGACAGAAGCTTGTTTATGATCAAAAGCTAGTATCTTGAAGGAAATTATGTAAACAATTATTTCCTGTTTTTCCGTATATTACTTATAAATGGACTTCGTCCAGTTAACATTACATACAGTCTGCAGTTAAAGTTTTTAAAACATTTACAAGATTCATAAACCGTCCTGGATTTTTACCAAACTTGGCCAGAAGCTTCTTACAATGAAACGATAGTATCTAGAGGAAAATGTTTAATAATGTTTCCCCATTTTTGTTGAGCCTGCGACTTTTGTCGCAAAAGCGAGACATAACAATCCTACATTCTGTCGTCGTCGTCGGCGGCATCCACGCATATTAACTCTGTGGTTACAGTTTTTTAAATTTTAATTACTTTCTTAAACTATCCTGGATTTAAAAAAAAAAATGAACAGAAGCGTGTTTATGATCTAAACGTAGTATGCAGAAGAACATTTTGTAAAATATTTAATTTTGTTTTTTCCGTATTTTACTTATAAATGGACATAGTTTTTTTTTCCAGTTAACATAACATTCACTCTGTGTTGAAAGTTTTTAAATTTCTAATAACTTTCTGCCAACATCCTATATGTTTAACAAACTTGCATAGAAGCTTGTGAATGATCTAAATACGGTCACAGGTATGTTAAATTATGAGTTTTATGTGTTACATATAAACTACTTCAGATGTTACTGAAACCAACTTAGATGCAAAAAAGTCCAAAAAAAACCAGGTTAACTTAGTTCTATTTCATGTCAAGCTTATTTTTATACTTTCCTGTCATGCTAACGATGATTATGAAATTACAAAATAAATAAAGTTAATATAAAAAGCAACAGAGAGCAGACGGAATATTCCGTAAAATTGAAGCTTACAAAACCTGGCATAGTAAAACAAATCAGTGAGTAAATATCTGATTGATAAAACGTTAATACATCTACATATCATAAAACAATGAAGGAGGCCCACAATAGATATCTTTTTAGGAACCTGTAATGCATTGAACAAAATTTCAAGAATAAAACTTTCTCGTCCGTTCTGGGCAAACTTTCCGTTAACAAATTTTCAAAGATCAGAAAACAGCATTACATCAAAACAACAATATGACTGCTATACTGATCGACTTCGCAAAAACGATCAATTGTTTTTCTTGCAATTAAGGTTTGATGTAAAATGAGTTGATGGTACCAAATGGTATCTGTTATATCAAACAAAAAGCAGTGTGTTAAAGTGAGTTCATCTCTATTGCATATGGATCGAACTTATTTAGGATTCCTCGAGGGTCAAATCTAGGTGCTATACTATTTCGTATTTGTTTATAGCATCAATCAGGTATTAACTCAGTGATTTGTTTTGCTATGCCAGGTTTTGTAAGCTTCATTTTTCCGGGATATTCCGTCTGCTCCCTGTTGCTTTTTATATTAACTTTATCTATTTTGTAATTTTATTTTTTTATTTCATTAGTGTAAACATATTTTACTAAATAATTTAACTACAAGAATAAGTGAATACGAATTAAACTGATGAGTAATAATTTGAGTAGCAGTATTCTTATATAAATCCATCGCCATTTCTATTTGTAATATAGACAGCTCTCTTTGTAACTTTTTAGATGATAACTCACTTTTCTATGCAAGTTAGGCAATTTAAAAAATATTTCATATTTAATTTTTTTTCAATTAAACAATTAAATGAAACAATATCACGTCAGTTGAAGTCGGAACTTTAATTCATGCACAGATGTTTCAATTTACAAAGAATTATATGGACAAGTTTTAAATGTAAGTGGTAATATATTATGATTTAATTGAATGAGCACATCGCTAATATTTACGTTCACTATATACAAACAAAGTTGTTTAACAAGGGCATGAATTAATCTAAAACGATCAGGTCGATTAAAGATAAGTTATTCTTTAATGTTCGGTAACATGATCCATTTGTAACAAAACAATACACACACTTACACATATATGAAAAAGATAGAGACACAAACTTATTTATATCGGTCTTGCAGTTCATGCTATAAGATTTTCATAAACAGCCACATGTTCCTGAAACAAAACCTTAAATTGAGACTAATATGTTTACTGTCAACATTACCAGTCGGTGATAATAACATCTTATTTATATACAGTTTGTAGTTTGATCTGTATTTGTCAGTAATGTCCTTTCACAAAAAAAAAGATACGAAAATTAATATGTGTTCACATGTGAAGTCTGAATCGGTTAAATAATCAAATGAACCGTTTGACATTAAATTTGGCAAGCGGACAGCTTAGATAAATAAATCCTTAAACGTATTAACTTGTTGAAGTACAATTATCCAAATTTATATTTTTGACAATTGCTGAAAATCATCCCAATGTTTGTCAAAAGAAGGAAGAATTGTGTCAAGAAACTCAGTAATTTTATTCATATAATACCCTTGATAAAACTTCGAGTAGTTTATGCCGTAAGGAAGTCAACCTTTCAAATGTTAAGATAATTTTACTGAATTGACCTAAAAATTCTTTTGCTAAATATGTGAAGGCATTTTAAAGTTTGAACATGACATTTGATAAATTGTTACATTGTTATGTTGTTTTATTAACCTAGGTTAACATTATGAAATTATTTAATTTCGTAAATCAAATAGTCAATACAAGGACAATTGTCAGATCATGTTTTGCACGATTTATTAAAATGTATCTCATGCAAATAAAACTGATACATACATTCATTTATTTGCATATCTATTTTGTTAACGTATTAGAAACTTATTAAATACTTGTCACTAGTAACAATTCATGTGAAGTTACAATTAGTGATTAAATACAAAAAAAATGGATGAAAAAAAGTTAAACAATGGACCGGTTTTATTTGGTTTTTGTTTTAATAATCAAAATATTTAAATTTAAAATTGTAGAAAGATATTTGAAGAAGCATTTAAATATATGTATTTTTATTCCACATTGACCAGAGGTGGAAGATTGCGATATCAAAAAACATGTTTAACCCTGCCAAATTGTGGCGCCTGTCCAAAGTCAAGAACCTCCAGCCTGTGTTAGTCTTGTGTGTGTGTTTTGTTTTTTTTTAATATTTGATCATTTGTCTGT